ATCATTAAAAAACAGTTGCAGTAGTACATCAGGAGGGAGCTGCCAGAAATTCAAGTTGGATTCAGAAGAGGATGTGGAAGGAGGGATATCACTGCTGATGTCAGATGGATCCTGGCAGACAGTAGAGAGGATCAGAAAGAGGTTTCCTTATGCTTTATTGACTATGCAAAGGTACTTGACTATGTGGATCATGGATACTATTCCTTGTTGTTGTTGTTTTTAAGTGCCATCAAATCAGTTCTGACCCATAGCGACCCTGTATAGGGTTTTTGAGAAGCAGCTGGTGAGCTTGAACCGCTGACCTCGCAGCTCAAACTGACTTTGCAGTCCAGAACCTTAACCCACAGCACCACACCAGGATTCAACCATTCCTTGGAGTGACATGAATATTATCCTATCACAGACAAGATTGTGCTTCACGATAGATCTTGAAATGTTCTTTTTAATAATGAATGAGACTGCATTCCTCGTCAACTTGTCATTCCCAACACAATAAACCATATGATTGTCAGATTCAAAATGGCCAATACCAGTCCATTTCAGCTTACCAATGCCTAAGTTCCATTTCATTTTGGATAACTTCTAATTTTCCTAGATTCATACTTCATACATTCCATGTTCTGATTATTAATGGGTATTTGCAGCTGTCTGTCCTCATTTTGAGTTGTGCCCTTCAGCAAATGAAGCTCTCAAAAGCTTTGCTCTCTTCACATCACTATGTGGGTGACCTTTAGTAATCAGTATAAATTATTACCAGCACTCAAAAACTCTTTGGGTCTCTCCAGATCCCTTCCTGAGTTTTGAGTTTTATGGGAATGGAGACATGTCATCTTTTTAATTGGTTACACCATGCTCCATTTTTAGAAGTCCCTTACATTATGTCACCCTACTGAGACACACGGAGTCTGGGTATGGTGTTGCAGGATAATGCACTGGACGGCAAGGTCAGTTTAAACCACAAGGTTAGCAGCTCTAACCTACCAGCCACTCCTCGGAAACCCTATACAGGGTTGCTATGAGTCAGAAACAACTCAATGGTACTTAACAACAATGACAACAATTGATATCCTATTGATGGACTTTTAGGTTGCTTATGATCTTTTATTACTATAAACAATGAGGACATGAATAATCTTGGAAGGATACTGTGTTTTTAAATTTTAAATTTTTGTGCTGAGCGTATATTTTCTAAAATGGTTTATTATGAAAAATTTCAAACATGTATACAAAGTAATAGAAGAGTTTCATGGACATTCAACTTCAACAAACTCTCTTTTTTTAAAAAAATATTTGTTGTAAAAGATAAATAACAGTTTTCAACTCAACATTTTTTACACGTACAATTCAGTGACGTTGATTAACATCCATTAATCATGTTGCACAACCATCTTTGTTATTCATTCACAAATTATTCCACCACTATTAATGATAAGCTCGTGGTGGGACTCCTGGTGTGGCGCTGTAGGATCAGCACTAGAACAAACCACAAGGTTGGCAGTTTGAACCCACCACCTGCTCCTCAGAAATCCTATACAAAGTCGTTATAAGGTGGAAGTAACTCAACAGCACTTAACAACAATGATGTTCAGTGGACCATGAATAAAGAAGACTATGGAAAAATTAATGCATTTGAGTTACGGTATTGGTGAAGAATATTGAAAGTATCACAGACTGCCAGAAGAACAAACAGATCGACGTTGGAAGAAGTCCAGCCAGAATGTTCCTTAGAAGCGAAGATGGTGAGACTTCGTCTCTCAGACTTGGGACATTCCATCAGGAGGGACCAGTCCCTGGAGAAGGACATCATGCTTGGTAAAGTGGAGGGTCAGCGAAAAAGAAGAAGATCCCCAATGAGATGGATTGACACAGTGGCTGTAAACAATGGGCTCAAACATAACAACCATTGTGAGGACGGTGAAGGACAGGCAGTGTTTCCTTCTGTTGTGCAGAGGTTCACTGAGTCAGAACTGACTCAACGGCGCCTAACAATAAGAGCGTCTCCAAGCTAAGACTCTCCCTTTCCCCTTCCTTCCCAATACATTTCATATTTTCTATAAGTGGAATCCTAAAATATTTGTTCTTTTGTGACTGACATCTTTCACTTCAATGTTTTCAAGACTCATCTGCATTGTAGCATGTACCTGGACTTATTTCTGTTGATGGGGAGTAATGTTCCATTGTATGCACGTGCCACATTTTGTTGATGAGCATTTTAGCTGTTTCCATCTTTTGGCTGTGGTGAACATTGATAAACAAGTTTCTGTTTGTGTTTCTGCTTTGAATTCTTTGAGTACATCCTCCTTTCAGTATACCTAGGACTGGGATTGCTGGGTCATATGGTAGTTCTCTGTTTAACTTTTTAAGGAACATAGTTTTCATACATTCTGCCACTCTTGTTTAAAATGTACGTTTAGAATGGGCTCCATTTCCTTATAATAGAATGCCCTTTGAGACTGCCGAAGATGGAGATTTATGAGTCTCAGTAGTATCAAATCATCGCTGTGTGACTGTGGGGAAGTTACTTACCCTCTCTTAACTCTCCCTAAACCAAAAGCAATGTCACTGCCAGCAAGTCAATTCTGACAAACAGTGACTCTATGGGACAAAATGTGGAGTGCTCGTGTGGTGCTGTAGGATCAACACTGGACTTGAAACCACAAGGTCAGCAGTTCAAACCTACCAACTGCTCCTCAGAAACCCTAGACAGGGTTGCTATGAGTCTTGAAGGCACTTAACAACAATAACATAGGATAAAGTAGAACTACCCCATAGGGTTTCCAAGACTGTAAATCTTTCCAGAAGCAGACTGCCACCGTTTTCCCACAAAGTGGCTCAGGGATTTGAACTGCTAACCTTTTAGTTAGCCCATGAGTATTTTAACTGGCTCCACCAGGGCTCTGTAACACCCATCTCCGCCCATCCCAGTACAATGGAGATGAGAATTCCTGCTCTTCAGAGTTGTGAGGAGAAATGGTGTGATGCAAGACTTTTCCAATGCTAGCTAGAGTGGGAAGGGAGGTGAGGCTGGGAAGGGAAGAAGAGGGTTTGATAGTGGCAAATCCACCTTCTACAAAACAGTGCCTTTGGTAAGATTTCACTTGACAAAAAGTTTCAGTGCTAAAAAAGAGATAACTGGACACCTTGAGGGAATGATTTGCTGGGCCACAGTCTCAAGGGACACCATCTAATAGGTATAACACAGTCCACAGACACAGTGACATGCTAACCCCGACATGTTACTTTGGGGAGTAGCGACGGGGATCTTGAAAGCTCATGAGTGGTCATCTAAGGTGTAACTATTGGTCTCTACCTGCCCGAAGGAAAGAAGTGTGATGAGAATTGAAGATGCGTGGAAACAATTAGTCCAATGGACCAGTGGACCATGGGACAGTCTCCAGACCCCTGAGATCAGAAGAACTAGATGGTGCCCGGCTACCACTACCAACTGCTCTGAAAGGGATCCCGTTAGAAGGTTCTAGAAAGAGTAGGAGAAAATGTGAAAGTAAACTCAAAATCACAAAAAGAACAAGATTACTGGTTAGATAGAGCTCAGTGGAACCCCAAGACTGTGGTCCCTGGTCACTCTTCAGGTCTGGAACTGAACTCACCCCTGTGGTCCAACTGTCAGCCAAGGTATGTAGGGGAGACAACAACATTAGTGAGGGACACACACCATGGAATAGCCAACCATTTGAGATCCATAGGACAAAATTCAGAAGGGTGGGAAACGAAGGAGGACTGGAAACAGGAATCATAGGGAGGAAGTGGAATACATTGAAGGATGGATGTTACATCGAAGGGATTGCAATCACTGAAATGAAGTCAAGTGGATGATTTGTTGAATGTAAAACTGATGATCTACTATGTAAACCTTCACTCCATTCACAATAAAACGTTAAAAAATAAAAAGATGGTTTGAGAGCACTCGGGTACTATTTAAAAGGACTTAAGCCTAATGTTGTGTCTAATTGCCTGTCACCATCATTTTGTTTTCCCTAACTGCCTCTGTTTTTTCAGATCACCTTTTTGCTGGCTAAAAACATCCTCAAATCAGAAAATGTTCTAAAGATGCCAGTGAGAATAAAGGGATGAGGGGCGGGGAAGAAGTCAGGACTAAGGAGGCAGGACTAAGGGCTGCTTTGTACCAGCAGATGTGTTGAATTAGCATCAACTGGGGTTCATCCTTCTCTTCTCCCTCACTCCCTCCTCACCCCCTTCTTCTGGAAAAGCGTGAATCTACTATCAACTTACCCCAAGCCTCTGCTAAATTGGTTCTGGTTTCCTAATAAGTCACAAGTTTCTGGTCCCTGTAGCTAGCTGTGTTTGTCATGAATTCAAGTTATTCCTCTCCCAGAGGCTAATAACTTTCACGAGTGTGCCCTCAATGCCCTCCCTCCCCACGTTGGCCACGTCTGCCCCAAGCCCCCACCTCCCAGCCCTGGGGTGTCCTCCCTGGGTGGGTAACTAAAGGGTCAATCGGCGGCGTTCCCAGTCCCCTGCACCCCACCCTCAGCACTTGCCGGCCAATCGCCTCCACCAGAGATGCTCCGAGCCCAAGTGCGGCTGCTCCAGGCTGCGGGTGAAGGCTTCTCCTCCCAGCGCTGAGCACAGGGTCCTGGCAGACGCCCCAAGATTGTTGTGAGGAGTCTAGCCAGTTGGTGAGCGCTGTAATCTGAACCAGCTGTGTCCAGACTGAGGCCCCATTTGCATTGTTTAACATACTTAGAAAATGAAGTGTTCATTTTTAACATTCCTCCTCCAATTGGTTTAATGCTGAATTACTGAAGAGGGCTAAGCAAAACCAGGTGTTTCTCTGTCGGCATTCCAGTGGCTCGCAGGGACCCAGGCTCTCCGCTGGTTCTCCTCACGACTTGCCGGTCCCTTCTGAAATAAAAACACCGAGGGCCCAGCGGAGACTGAAGTTGAAGAACTCCTTCGAGTGGCCTGCGTGTGAGCTGTTTTCTTTTCTTCTTCGTGTCTCCTCCTTGCACATCGTGGACATGCCAGGAATCAAGAGGTATGTTCTGGGCTGTGGTCTAGAAACCTGAACTAAAAGTCTGATGGGTGGAAAGAGCCTGCGACTGGGGTTCAGACCTGTGTCAGGATATTGGAGAAGGCTTTAGCTAGTGATGCAATGATATTGATAATTATAAAAAGCAGCGCCGCTGGAATTTCCATCTTGAAGTCTTACTTTGGGAGTGGGCGTTTTACAATATAGTTCCAGAAGTCAGCATTTGAGAGAGGGTTACAGACCCTCAGAGCTTTATTATTGCTCAGTCTTTTGGGGAACGGCAGCAGCTTTATATGCTGTTATTGTTGTTAAAAAAAAAATTTTTTTTTTAAATCTATATTTTAAATTTGGGAGACCGGTTGCTAGTTTGTTGGCACTGGTTTTGATGCATTTGTTGTTGGACAAGATAAGGTTGAAGCTGACTGCTCTTGTGCCGGATCTATCTTATTTCTGTGTGGGATTCACGAAAGGCATCGGACCCAGAAGTTTCAAGCCAATAGAAAGTGGGAACTGTGGACAGAAATACATGTAAGCAAATGCTTTGCTGTTCTTTAAAGAAATGGCAATTCCAGTCAAGCAACCCTTAAGACTTGCAGACCTTTATCTGGATGATAAATCTATCCATAGAACTCTTGCAAGCTCAGCTGCTTGAAACAAATGAGGTGTGTGTGTGTGTGTGTGTGTGTGTGTGTGTGTGTGTGTACACACACAACTGAGCTGTAATAATGTCATCCTGGGTTGGGGACCAGCACCTCTGTGACAGATAGTGTTGAGGTTTGGATGCTATCTCTAGCTTCCCTTACAGTTTAGGATGGATGCTTTAGAAAGATACTGGGACCCAACCAACGGAATCAAGAAACCCAAACCAGTTGCTGCTGAGTTGGTTCCAACTCATAGTAACTCTGTGGCACACAGAGAACTGCCGCATAGGTCTTTCAAGGTGGTGATCTTTGTAGGTGCTGACTGCCAAGACCCTCAGTATTCCTGCACTCAGGTCACATATGGGGTTTCCAGGGGTTTTCTTGATGAGGTGCAGCTATGTGTGGTGTGGTAAGAGCAGAAAGCCCTCTATCCCCACCTGGAACTTGTTTCACCCCCAGGACTGGGCTGTGGCTGAGTTTGAGGTAGTGCCTCTCAGTGGAGACAGGTCCCCACACTGCCCTCGCCTGAAGGAATGGGGGACTAGGGATAAAAGGGAGAAGGGGGCAGCATGCGTCTCACACTGGATGCATTAGGCTGCCCAGTCTCCAACATAAACCAGACTGGGTTTTATAACCAACTGAAAGGAAACTTCATGTGAAGAAACAGGAAAACTATAATATACAGATGGGAAAATATGTTTGTTGTTGGTTTTTCATTCCTTCCAGGTATAAATCTGGCTGTCACAAATTCCAAAAAGCCCCGGGATTTGGCTCTGCACTTTAATTAGATCAGAACAACCTCAATGTCCGAGAAAGCCGGATGTTGAGGGTCTTCATTCTTTGGTCGGGGAAGAGGTGGAGGACAGGGGCCTGTGAGTCTGGACACTACCTCATGCTGGGTTTTCTCAGGGTGTGGAGCGAGTCACCTGTGCTCTGGGTCCACCCAAGTACCCACTGTGGCTGATTGCCACGAGCCATGTGTCATGGATGTGAGCATGCTTCATAATCTTTCAAATGCTCTTTAAGAGGAAGACATTAGCCGTTGCAGGCCACCAAATCCAGCCACAGGCTTGGCAGACTGGCAAAATTTATAGCCACAGGTCCATTGTCCTATTGAAGGTCACTTCCTCCAGGAAGCTTTTCCTTAACTTTTTTATCCCTCCCTCCAGCCTGGCTTTCATGATACCCAGTGGGTGTTTCTGTCAGTGTCCTTACCAAAGTTTATTGACACTACTGATTTGTGTGGCTCCCCAGCCAGCCCTGGAGGGCAGTGATTGGGTCTTCATATTACAGCTCTTAGACCTAGCTCCCATGCCTGCAAGTAGTCATTGCTCAGACAACTAGCACTAAAGGAATGCTCTACATTGGCATGGGTTTTGTACTTTTGAAGCATTTTTTCTGACCAGATTTTATTGGGTGAGGTTTGCAAGAGATGAGAGGTATTGCAGGCTCACAGAGGGTTAGTGGCTTGCGGATAGCAGAGCTGGTCTGACCTGAGGTTTCTGGATTCCCTCATCCTGAGTTTTCTCCTCGAGTTACCGCTTCTCTGGGCTGCCCAGGTTCACAGGATCCTCTATCCCACCAGGGCCGGCGGGGTGGCAGTCCTCACAGGCTGTGCTGGAGGACCAAGCCCACCTGTTGATGGGGGTGGTTGGTGGAGGAGTAATTGTGTGTGTGTGGGGGGGGCAGGGGACTTCATGTATATGGAGTAGGTTCTGGTTAAGAGCCTTCCCCCAGCACTTTCTGCGGACTCTGATTTTCTGTCGTGGTTGGAGGGTTTGATGGGCTCATTCATTCATTCATTCATTCATTTCTTAATGAAGATGTTAGCAGATCATGTTGAAGGAATTGAAAAACACACACACACACAACTGTTACCAGCAACTCTACTCCTAGTTATGGTAGCTCCATGGGTGTCCAAGCTGAATTGTGCACCATAACCTTTTCAGTGGCAGAATTTTGGGGAAGTAGATTCTCAGGTCTTTCTTCCCAGACACTGTGGGTAGGCCAGAAGTGGCAAAGCCCTCAACCGCTGAGTGTGTTCCCCATCTGCACCACCTGAGAAAAACTCACAGTCCTGTGCGACCCTAGAGTAGAATTGTCCCATGGGGTTTCTGAGGCTTTAATCTTTAGAGGAGGAGACTACCACGCCTTTCTCCCTTGGAGCGGTTGGTGGGTTTGAACCATCCATATTTGGGTTAGTACCTGAGTGTGCAGACACCGTACCACCAAGGCTCCATCTTTGCAGCACCCATGATTCCAAAATTAGCTACTGTTGAGTTGATGCCATACAAACCCCACTACCAGTGAGTTCATAGGGAGGTGAGCTGCCCCACAGCAGGGTTTCCAAGGTTGTAATACGTGGCAGAAGCAGACTGCCACATCGTTCTCCTGTGGATTGGCAGGTAGGTCTAAACTGCTCAACTTTTTTGTTGGCAGTCGAACGTGTCCCCTACTGTGCCACCAGGGTGTGCAAAGCAGCTGCTTACATACAGATAGCATGATGGTGGTTTTTAAGACTTCAAGGAAAATATTTTTTAAGCAATAGAACCCTTTTTGAAAAAAAATGTGACCTTATATGAAACAAGTAGGAGAGGGGCTGTTCTATTTGTGGAAGTTAGGGTCTCTGTACCCCCTTACTCCCTAATACTGAGTGCTTAGGGAGGTGACTGTTATCAATGCCCAAGTCCCACCCCCGCAGACCTATATGCTTCCCAGCCATTTATGTCCAACTTCTTATCCCCACAGGATTCTCACCGTGACCATTCTGGCTCTCTGTCTTCCAGGACCTGGGAATACACAGGTAAGGTCGAAGCTGAACACCACTGGGTTGTAGCCATGGAAGGGGCCTTCAGGGCTTTGCCGTCTGTGCTCTGTGTCTTACAGAGATGAAGGCTGAGGCTCAGACAAGGACAGAGATTGGCCCAGAGTCAAACCTGGGACCAAATGTCTGACCTCTGACCCAGGACTTGGCTGATCAGACTATGTTCTTCCTTTGTGTTCCCTGGAGTGTCTAGGTTTATGAAAATAGTGTAAAAAGTGCTCTCATGTTGCCCACTGAAGTCTGTGTTTGTCTGGGGAGAGGAAGGAGGACATTCTTCCAAACACCAACATTCCTGTTGGGGTTCTTCAGCTCCAGACCCGGGGTCCATCTCTGGGCTGAGAGGGCCATGAAATTAGGCTCCCAGGGCATCCAGGATTTTATGAAGCAACAAGAGACAGGTTCCCATTGATGTCAGCCCTTGAGATGTGTGGCCAGGCCCTTCCTGAGACTCAAAGCAGGGAGAAAGGACTGAGGAAGACAGGGGGATGCTTTCTTCTTTTGTATCAAGCATTTTGAACACCCGTGGGCCATTGGGATGCAACTTGGGAGGAGCTTTAGGCCTTGGTGGGGGACCTTGGAGTCTTCTAATCCAACCCTCTTGTACAGTGAAGGAAATCTAGGCCTAGAGAGGCCAGGGGTGACATGGTTGTGCTGACTGCATTTTAGTCGCTTTCTTAGCACACAGATTAGCACAGTTAATCTTTGCACCCAGGTAAGCAGTGAGTCCTTTGATCCCATTTTACAGATGAGAAAACTGAGATATAAACAGTTTATGCAGCCAGTAGGTGTCAAAGGGAGAATTTGAAGCCCAATGACTCAGAGGATTTGAACCGACCTCCAGCACTTAGTTGGAAGCCAGATTTGCTGGCCTCTGAGGCCCTGTAGCACTGTGTCAACGTCTGGGAGGTGGGAGCCCACTGGCAGGAGCGCAGGTTGGTCTCTGTACTGCCACTCAGGGAAGCCACGCCCCTCTGCAGCCGTGGGGAAGGCAGGCATCTGAAGGTGGAGAGAGACAAGGCCAAGGACAGGAGCTCCCACAGTTGGAAACAGCCTCCCCCCTACCCCTGACCACTCTTCCCTATAAATATCGGGGTCCAATGTCTTTGCCAATGGACCCAAGACATTTTTGTTGTAAGTGTCTAAAGTTGTGACTCAGGATCCTGGTGTGATGCTGTAGGATTAGTACTAGACTGGTAACCGCAAGGTCGGCAGTTCAAACCCACCATCTGCTTCTTGGAAACCCTATATAGGGTCGCTATGAGTCAGAACAGACTAGCTAGCACATACAACAACAACAGCAAAGTTATAAGTCAAGTTTCGTGTGAAGTCCACAACACTCTGGGGTTGTTGAAATCCATCTTTCTTTGGGAAGCATAATTATGTTGTTGAGGTTGAAATCAAGCATTCTCCAATTCTACTTTTTACTGAAAACCAACTGCACCTGCTATTGCTTTTATTTTATGGCCTCAGAGTCAGCTAGGGGACTTCATAGGGACAAGGTAGTCACTGTCCTTAAGAAATAGTCCCATCCATCCTGCAGAGGGAATGAACGTGGGTGTAGACATCTGGTAGACCAGATATGCTTAGCATTGTCCTTCTTAGCTAGACTGTTAAAAAACCCCAACAGTCATCTGCCAAAAATGAGATTTCTTTTATGAAGTAACAGTGTGAGGGGCGAGGAACTTAAGATGTAATGCTAAGTGCAAAAAAAGATGACATATACATACATACATACATGTACTGGTGTGGTTCTGTGGGTTAATGTGCTGGACAGCAAGAAATTGATTTGAACCTCAAGGTCCATGGTTCAATCTCACCGGCCGCTCCTCAGAAACCATATATAGGGTCGCTACGAGTCAAACCTGACTCGAAGGCACTTAACAACAACAATATATAAAGTTGTTGATAAGTGCTGTTGAATTGATTGCAACTCATCGACCCCATATAGGTCTGTATATATTGTTGTTAAGTGCTGTTGAGCTGGTTCCAACTTATAGCAACCCTTCCTAGGGTTTCCAAGGAGTAGCTGGTAGGTTTGAACTGCCGATCTTGTGGTTCACAGTCCAGTGCTGATCCACAGCGCCACACCAGAAGTCCATGTATATATATTTCTTGTTAAGTGCCTTTTAGTTGGTTACAACTAATAGAGACCTCATACAGGTATATCTCTGTATCAGTAATCTAAGTAGCTCTGGTAGCGTAGTGGTTACAAATTGGGCTGCTAACCTCAAGGTCAGCAGTTTGAAACTACCAGTCGTTCGGTGGGAGAAAGATGAGGTTTTCTGCTCCCATAAAGATTTACAGCCTCGTAAACCCTCTGCAGGGTCACTATGAGTTGGAACCGACTCCATGGTACTTAACAACAACAACAATGTATCAACAATCTATATCTATGTATCTATATCTAGTTGTTGTTATTAAGTGCTGTTGAGTTGATTTTGACTCATAGAGACCCCATATAGGGTTTCCAAGGAGCAGTTGATGGATTTGAACCACCAACCTTGCAGTTAGCAGCCCAGTGCTTATCCTACAGTGCCACATCAGAACTTCATGCACACACACACACACACACACATGTTGTTGTTAGTGCCATCAAGTCAGCTTCAACTCATAGTGACCCTGCACACGACTTCCAAGGAGCAACTGGTGGGTTTGAACCAATGAAATCTAGTTCTTATCCTACAGCACCACACCAGGACTCTGAGTTAATGTGCTGGACTGAAAAGTCGGTTTGAACCACAAGGTTGGCGGTTCAAGCTCATCAGCCATTCCTTGGAAACCCTATACAGGGTCACCATGGGTTGGTACCAACTCGACAGCACTTAATAACAACAACAACAACAGCAGTCAGGAAACTAACTGGCATAGATCAGAAATAATAATTCAAGAACATTACATTGCACCATTTGAAAGTTTTTCATGTGCATATACCCTGATTTTATGGTCTCTAAACTGAATCTCCCAATAAGAAGCCACAAACATTAATTAGAAAATTCCTACTGAAGTTCAGTACGTATACCTTTTATATTACATCTTACGGTATTATTGAAAGTATATTTCTTTCAAAGCAAAACCAAAACTGGTAAATATTAACACAAAAATAAATCCAAACAGTTTTTTAAAACAGCGACAATTGACTGACCAGCCCCAACAGTATCACCACCAAGGTAAAGAATATATAAACAGAAAAAAGAAATCACTCAAAACCATTTTCAGTGATGACATCGATGATAAAAGGAAACCACCCTTAGAGAGAGAAACAAATTATGATTGTTGTTGGAATTGCTATCAAGTTGTAAATGTCACTGAGTCAGTTCCTACTCATAACCACCCTGTACAAGATTTCCAAGGAGCAGCTGGTAGGTTTGAACTGTTGATCTTGGTGTTGGTACTATGAATGCCTTAAATATTTCTTTATTGTGATACAATCTATATGGCATAAAATTTGCCATATATTCAGTTTAGTGACATTAACTACATTCACAGTGTTGTGTAACCATCAGTACTGTTTCCAAAACATGTGTCACCCCCAAACGGAAACTCATTCAACAATAACTTCCCATTGGCCCGTTCCCCAGCCCTTGGTAACCACTACTCTAATTTTGTCTCTGTGCATTTGGCTATTCTGTTCATAAAGGTGGGAGCCCACAGTATTGATCTATTTGTGTCGGACTTATTTCCCTCAGCATAATGTTTTCAGGGTTCATCCCTGCCTCACACAGCATGCATCAGAACGTTAGTCCCTTTTAATGTCTGAATTATATTCTATTATGTGGACAGACCATATTTTGTTTAGCCATTCATCAGTTGATGGACACTTGGGTTGTTTTCACCTTTTGGCTGTTGTGAAAAGGGCTGTAGTGAACACTGGTCGGCACATGGATGTCTATTTTCTACATTTCTCAAGCACCCTGCAATGAAGACACAATACAATCACAGTAAAATGTAAGTAAATACAATGATTTTGCCTCTCTCTTCTCTCCCCTTTCCTGCAGCAACAGTGCACGAATGGGTTTGACCTGGATCGAACGTTAGGACAGTGCTTAGGTAAGGTGGCTGCAAATCCTTCCCTGGGGCAGGTGCTGGGCCCTCTCCTTTCTCAGTTAATGATCAATATTGTCGAATGTCTATAGATTCTGCCCATGGAAGAAAATGGTGCTTTGGAACGACTGAAGTCAATGGCACCCTATCCTTGGTCACCTTGTTTGTCCCCAGCACAAGGTTAAGCACCATGAGAGACCGAAGCTGAGTAAGAATTGGTCTCCAACCTCAACTAGCTTTTCCATTCATATTAGTCTTCTACGGCCGCCATAACAAATTGCCACAAACTTAGTGGTTTCAACAACATACTTTCATTATCCCCAGTTCTGTAGATCCGAAGTCCAACATGAAGTCAAACATCAAGGTGTGTGCAGAGCTCTGTTCCTTTCTGGGGACTAGGGGAACAATTCATTTCCTTGTTCACGCAAGCTGTTGGCAGAATTCACTTTCTTGTGGTTGTAGGACTAAAGTACTTGGCTATCAGTTGAGGGTCGTTCCCTGCTTCTAGGGGCCGCCCTCATTCCTTGACTCTTGACCCCCTTTCTGCCATCTTCAGAGCCAGCAATGGCAAGCCAAGTCTTTGTGATGTTTCAAATCTCTCCTCCTTCCATTACTGCATCTCTCTGACCATCCCTTCTGCCTCCTCTTCCACTTTTAAGAACTCCTATAATTATTTGGGAGTCCTGGTGTGGCGCTGTGAGCTAAAGCAAAGGACTGCAAGGTCAGTTGAGTCACAAGGTCAGTGGTTCAAACTCATCAGCTGCTCCTTGGAAACCTATACAGGAACAACTTGATGGCGCTGAACAACAATAACATGGTTAACTGGGTCCACTAAGATGATTCAGGATAGTCCCCCTGCCCCATCTCAAGGTCAGTTTATCAGAAATTTTAATTCTGTCTGCAACCGAATTCACTTTTGCCATATAATATAACACGTTCTGGGGATTAGGATATAGAAATTTTGCGGGGAGTGAGGTGGGGAGATTGCATTCTTCTGCCTACCACATGATTTAATAGGAGAGCTAGATCTAGAAATAGTAATTTTGTGAGAGTGAAGAAATTGCCCAATAGAGGTGAAATCATTAGACCCTGCAAAAGATGAGGCGAGAGTAATGCCTTGTATCTGGAGTCCATACAGAAAGCCTTCATAGAGCTCACCTGTGAATTTGGTAGGCTCCTGAGAAATGGCATTCCAGGTGGGGGGAATAGCAGACATAAAGACCAGCGTTGAGAAGGATGTTCACTGGATAGAAGACTTGGGTGTGGATGGAGCAGGTTGTTGTTGTTAAGTGCCACTGAATTGGTTCCAACTCATTTCAACCCTGTGTAGAGTTTCTGAGGAGTGGCTGGTGGGTTTGACTTGTCACTCTTGTGGTTAGCAGTCCAGTGCTTACCCTCAGTGTCACACCAGCTCGCCCCACTCCTGGCACTTATTTAGGTATAGGATGAGGATTGTTGTTGGTGCCTGACTCTAACTCATGGAGACCCCACGTGGTCAGAGTAGCGGCTGGCTGCAGTGATTCATTGTTTGAAAGTAGATCCCCAGGCTTTTCTTTCTAAGCACCTCTGGGTAGGCTTGAACCTCCAACCTTTTGGTCAATTGTGGTTGTTGTGAAGTGCTATCGAGTCGGTTCTGACTCACAGTGATCCTGTATAGGGTTTCCGAGGAGCAGCTGGTGGGTTTGAACTGCCGATCTTGTGATTTGCAGCCCGGTTGCTGAATGTTTAATAGCTGAGTGTTGTAACCGTTTACACCACGTAGGAACTTCTGTCCTTACCTGTTGTTGTTGTTGTTGTTGTTGTTAGAGAGCCTACGCACAGCAGAACAAAACACTACCAGCTTGTGCGTCATCTTCACAATGTTCTAACAACAGAGCCCATTGCTGCTGCCACCGTGCCAATACATCTGGTTGGGGGGTCTTCCTCTTTTTCACTCACCCTCCACTTTACCAAGCATGATGTCCTTTTCCAGAGAATGGTCCCTTCTGATAATATATCCGAAGTCTGGCCATCCTGGCTTCTAAGGAGTATTCTGGCTGCTCTTCTTCCAACACAGATTTGCTGATTTCTTAGAGAATCGTCTCTCGCCTCCAGGCATAACAGCCTGCCTGGAAATGGACCCAGCTTGCCAGCTGCTCTCTGAACAAGGAACTAGTGCACAGTCAAGCCCTAGTTTTATCTTTTCTTCTTTTATCCTTTACATTGTATTCATTTTGTTGTTGAGAATATGCACAAAAATTTACATCAACAGTTTCTATACTGCAACTTAGTGACATTGATTATATTCAAGTTGGGCAGATGTTCTCACCTTCCCACCTTCCTTTTCTGAGCTGTTGCTCCCTTTTCACAGCTTGGTGTCCTCCGAAAGTACCTATCTCGTCTTGTAAGTTTCTATTGTCAATTTGATCCCAGATAGATCTTGTTGTTGTTAAGTGCTGTCGAGTGGATTCCGACCCATAGCAGCCCTGTACAGGATTTCCAAGGAGCAGCTGGTGAGCTTGAACCGTTGTCGCCTTACAGTTCAAATGGCTTTGCAGTCTGGCGCATTAACCCACAGTGACACACCAGGACTCCAGATAGATCTTAAAAGACCATAATACTCCAGGCAGATCTTTTAAATTAATTAAGCTAAATTATTGTTTGGTTTTAAGAAGACTTCAGGGGATATATTTTTGGTTTAAGGGTTAAAGATCCTCTCAGGACAATAGTTTCAGGGATTCATCCAGTCCAGCTTTATGGCTCCGGAAAGTCTAGAGTCCTTGAGAATTTGAAATTCTGCTCTGTGTTTCGCCTCTTGATCAGGATTCTTCAATGGAATCTTTGATCAAAATGTTCAGCAATGGTTGCTGGGCACCATTCAGTCTCCTGGTCTCATGGCAAGCTTTGTCTTTCTTGATGCTGGAGATTCTTTCTCTCATGCCTAGGCACTATTTGGAGCAGAAGTGGGAAGACTCCGTAGGTCCTGTCCTGTGTTTCCAGAGAGCAGGATGTACGCACGAGGAGTATCTCTGATACTTTTTAGATGGTACCCCTCAGATAATCACTCTTGATTTTAATAGTTACAGATGGAAGAAGCCCCGGTGGCATAGCAGGTTATACATTGGGCTACTCCCCATAAGCTCAACAGTTCAAATCCTCCAACCACTCTGTGGGAGAAAGATGGGACTTTCTGCTTCCACAAAGATTTACAGCCTCAGAAACCCTATACAGTGTCTTTATGATCTGGAGCACGCTCCACGGCATACAACCACCACTATATTGTATTTTACCGGTATTGTTGTTAAGTGCTGTCTAGTCCTTTTTTACTCATAGCAACCCCTTTATAAGGTTTCCAAGGAGTGGCTGTTAAGTTTAAACTGCTGACCTTGTGGTCCAGTGTTTCTCCTATAGTGCCATACTTGTTGTTGTTGTTGTTAAGTGCCGTCGAGTCGGTTCCGACCCATAGCGACCCTGTACAGGGTTTCCGAGGGTGTAAATCTTTACGGGAGTAGAAAGCCTCATCTTTCTCCCGCGGAGTGGCTGGTAGTTTCGAACCGCTGACCTTAAGGTTCGCAGCCCGATTCGTAACCACTACGCTACCAGAGCTCCTTATAGTGCCATACTAGGACTCCAGAAACCCTATACAGGGGCTTTATGAGTTGGCACTTGATCCACAACACATAGCCACCACCATATTGAATTTTACCCTCACCTTTTATATATATATGTGTGTTGTTGTTGTTGTTATGTGCCATGGAGTCGGCTCCGACTCATAGCGACCCTGAACAGAGTTTCTGAAGCTGTAAATCTTTATGGGAGCAGAAAGCCTCAGCTTTCTCCCGTGGAACAGCAGGTAGTTTCGAACTGCTGACCTTGAGCTTCGCAGCCCGATTCGTAACTACTACGCTACCAGAGCTCCTATATATATATATATATATATATGTACATATATGTATACACACACACACTATGGTTTTCATTTGCTACACTAATATAAGATTTTAAAAAATTATTTGGGTTTCAAAAGTGGGTTGATTAAAAAACACACAAAAGCGACTTAAAGCGTTACACCATGTAAATAATACAGGGTTTTGTGGATATGGCCAAAATCATGATATTTGCATGGCTGATATTTGAGTGATATTGGCCAGTTTGATTTGGTTCAGCCCATATTTGGGATTGCCCTAGGTGGTTGGGAGCAAGGGCTGCTGTTTTGGGGTCCTTGGTGCCAAGCTCTGCTTCAGTATACACCATGTGCAATGTGGTAAACAGGTCCCCAATGCTTGTCTGTTTTCTGACTTTCTTTCAGATGTAGATGAATGTCGGACCATCCCTGAAGCCTGTCGTGGGGACATGATGTGTGTGAACCAAAATGGCGGATATCTGTGCATCCCCCGAACAAACCCAGTGTACCGTGGGCCCTACTCAAACTCCTTTTCTACTCCTTACTCGGGTGGTCCATACCCAGCAGCTGCCCCACCACTTTCAGCTTCAAACTACCCTACAATTTCTAGGCCTCTCATTTGCCGCTTTGGATACCAGATGGATGAAGGCAACCAGTGTGTAGGTGAGTAGTTCTGCATGCAACTATCTCTCCCATCATGCTTTGGTGAAGATGTTGCCTGAATCCAGGATGTCCGGCTCAAAAAAGTTGTTCTTAGCTGCTATGCTGTAAACCAGTGAAGTAATGGCTTACTTTCTCTCCACTCACAGGAGCCTGTATCTCGGCATCCCCTCTCATCTTGGTGTCTAATTCTCCAGAGAGTCAACTTTTTTCCCCCTTTATTTTCATTTATTACCTACACACACACATTGTTATTTTTGTTAAGTGCCGTCAAGTCAGCTTTAACTCATAGCAACCCTGTATAGGATTTCCAAGGAGCAGCTGGTGGGCTTGAACTGCTGACCTTGTGGTTCGCAGTCCAATGCTGATCCTGCAGTACCACACCAGAACTTTATAATTTATGTTGTTGTTAAGTGCCGTCAAGTCGATTCCGCCCCATAGCGACCCTGTATAGGGTTTCCAAGGAGTGACTGATGAGCTTGAACTGACGACCTTGAGATTCAAACGACTGACTTCTGGCGCATTAACCCACAGCACCACACTAGGACTCCTATAGTTTGTGTTGTTGTTGCTAAGTGCCGTTGAGTCGGTTCTGACCCATAGTGACCCTATACAGGGTTTCTGAGGCTGTAAATCTTTACGGGAGCAGAAAACCTCATCTTTCTCCCGTGGAGCAGCTGGTAGTTTTGAACTAGTTTGTGTAGCATAAATAAAAAACAGAAAACTTAAAAGGGTGTGATTAAAACAAGGACAAATTGAAGTTCTAATATTTTCTTTTTGCACACAGAGCTCTGGGAGGCCATTGGTTCTATCAAGTGAGATTCGTGTTGGCCCCATTTCAGGGTTCTCCTCCAAGGAGCTCTGGTAGCGTAGTGGTTACGAATCGGGCTGCGAACCTTAAGGCCAACAATTCGAAACTACTAGCGACTCTGCGGGAGAAAGATGAGGTGTTCTGCTCCTGTAAAGATTTACAGCCTCAGAAACCCTGTACAGGGTCGCTATGGGTCGGAACCAACTCAAGGCACTTAACAACAACAACAACTCCATTGCTAGTGAGGTGGGGATGATCCTTTTATAATGTCTGTGATATTCATGCAAAGGAGTGTACATTTCCATTCTGGTATATGCAAAGAATACGCAAGCAAGTGTTTGGAGCTACAAGGGATAATTGGATAACTTGAACCCAAAACGTGCTCATTTTTACTGGTCTGCTGGCAGGGATATGTGGGTATGTGCGTGTGTGTGAGTGAGAGAGAAAGAGCGACTGAGAAAGAGAGAATGATTGAGAGAACACAGAAGAGTAACTCCAGGAAGGAAAGAGTGCATGGGCAGGGAGAGAGTGTGGGAATCATAAAACGTTGGTGGCAGAGACGGTAACATATGTCCTTATAACAAGAAGCTGAGTGGCTGACCATTGTAAGTGGATAGGGCTTTCACAACCTGTTTCTCTAGCTTCTTTATTTTACAGAAAGGGCTCCAACAGGTTAGATCATTACAGAGGTAGGTGGGCATCCCAGCCATCCTGACTTCCAGTCTACATTTCCCTCACAATACCACGAGACCTCTCCCATCTGGTAGAAATGTCCCCAAAAGAAAATACAGAGAAAGAGCTGTACGGGGGAGCGCTTTTCTGGGAGGTCACCTGTGTACATAGTGAAGTCATGTGACTACATTTTGGGGGTGTTCCAGTCTTCCATCGGGGATAGATGGCCATGGTTCAGGCGTACTCCTTGATGTCCTGGGCAGCCCTGAAGGCCCTTTGGGCAGGACAGCCGGGATTTGCTGCCATGGTCTCCAGACTCTTTCCAGGATCCCAGTGCCCTTGAGAATGAGGAGTGTCTGGGAACCCAGTTCACCCCTGGTCCCTGTGACGTCATGCAATTTATGGCTCCAAACCTGTCTCCGGGCCTGCAGAATGGTCTCTTTGTGAGAAGAATACAATCTAGGAACCCTAGTGAGGACTGGCAGCCGGCCCATACATTCCCCAAAGGTCCAGCATTATGCATTCATAAGTCTGAGCTCCTTTTTCCTTCCCTCACCCCGCCCGCTATTTCCTGACCTCAGCCAGGCCCTTGCACAGGTCTTTCTGGGCATTGTCAGAGGTGGCCTCAGAGAAGGATGGGGAAGGAAGTCTCTTTTTTCTTCACTGTTCCTTCCAGGAACAGCAATGGAGAGAAGGAAGCCTGGGAACAGGCAAAAGGGAAGTAAGGTACAGAGGTAGCAGAAAAGACAGGGAGGCTAGTCTGAAGCAATTGCTGCCCAGAGAAGGAGAATGTTGGGGCTTCCCTAAGCGCAACCCTTATCCTGTGGGAAGCATTGGACAAGCAGTGAAAGTCAGGAGAACTGGAGAGGTTTCTTCAATGTTGGTGTTCTAGGAGAGAAATCTTTGTTTTGTTTTGTTTTTTTTTAAGTGTTTTATTATGAATTATGTGATAGTTTACAAAGGAGAACATTAGCTTTACATTCATCCTATTGTATTTCGTTAAAATGCCATGGTTACAATCCCCTCCATGCATCATCAAACAACCAAAGGGTATACCCTACAAGCCTGCCCCCTGGTTGTCAGCATACAGCCCCTCTCCCTCTCTGGGTCTGGAGTCCCCAGCCACTCCCTCTCTCCACATCATCGTCTCTACCTCCATCTCTGGCGTCACTGTTTCTCTGGGTAGGGTCCCGCACGCTGCTCTTCTCCCTTGATGATCCCAGGGACCTCCGCTCCTGGACTGCAAAGTCAGTCACTAGTAGAGAAATCTTTGAGGGGGTCTTCCTTCTGAATAAAAAACAAGAATAAACAATACCAATAGTAATAACAGCAAACAGTTCATAAAGACTTTCTGAGGTAGGGCTGTTGTGATGCATATTGTACCAATGAGGCATTTTAGGCACAGAGAGGTTAAGGAACCTGTACAAGGTTACACAGCCAGTGAGGGGCAGAGTCAGGATGAGGAAACTGAGACTCAGCAAGATGAAAGTTTGTTTCACCGCCCACAGGAAGACAGTCCCATAACCAGGATTGAGAACTAGGGTTTTCTCTTGTTATTTATTTTCTTCCAGTGAAATTTTCTGTTCTGTAAAATTTGGAGCTAGACAGAATTAGAACATAATGGATGTTTACATATTCACTTCCAAATTTCAGACATTAACTTAAATGATTTCCTCCTAAATCCAAGAGATCCCAAAAACCTACTGCCACCAAGTTGATTCCAACTCAAACCAATTCTGACTCCTAAGGTTTCCGAGGCAGTAGATCTTTATGGGAGCAGAACGCCTTATCTTTCTCCCAAGGAACAGCTGGTGAGTTTGAATTTCCAACTCTCTAATTAGTAGTTCACTGATTATCCTCCAGAGTAATGATAATGATCCTTAAAAAAAGAAAAGATAACCACAATACCACTGTCAAACCTATAAAAATTATCAGTAACTATAAGGAGCTCTGGTAGCGTAGTGGTTATGAATTGGGCTGTGAACCGCAAGGTCAGCAGTTCGAAACTACCAGCTGTTCCGCGGGAGAAAGATGAGGCTTTCTGCTCCCATAAAGATTTACAGCCTCGGAAACCCCGTACAGGGTCGCTATGGGTCGGAACCGACTCCAAGGCACATAACAACAACAACAACAACAACATATCCACTTGAAATGAGGTCTGAAAACCAAACTACACCTATTGTTGTTGAGTTGATTCCAGCTCATGGTGAACCGTGTATTACAGAGTGGCCCCAGGTTCCGGAGGCTTTTCTTGGCTATAATCTTTATGGAAGCAGATTACTAGGCCTTTTCTGTGGCAATGCTGGGTGGATTTGAACTTTTCAGTTCATAATCCAGGGCAAAACATTTTTTCCTCCCAGGGATCTCAAAGTGAAGTATGTTGTACTTACTCAAAGTAAGTGCCTTTGAGTAAGTTCCTACTCATAGCAACCCTGTATAGGGTTTCCAAGGAGTGACTGGTGGGTTTGAACCACTGACCTTGTAGTAGTAGTCCAGTGCTTGTCGTATGATGACATTCTAAGACTCCACAAAGTAAGGTATATTATAATTTATATCAATTATGATATCGTAATATTAATTATGATCATTCATAATTATGAAAAATTATATTAATTCTTAGATTGTCTCATAAATGTATTTTTGAAGTTGGTTTGTTCAAATCAGATCCAAACAAGGCTTACAAATTGTATTTGGTTGACAAGTCTCTTAAATACCTTTTAATTCTTTTTGTTTCTCTTGCAACTTATTTGTGGAAGAAGCTGAGTTATTTGTCCTGAGGAATTTTCTACGTAAGGGATATTGCTGATTGCATTCTTGCGGTGGCATTTAACATGTTCTTCTACCCCCTGTGTTTTCTGTACACTGGTAGTTGTTAGATCTGGAGGCTTGATCTACTTCTGATTTAATATTTTTGGCAAGCTACCAGACGCTCCGCAGGAGAAAGATAAGACTTTCTGCCTTCATAAAGATTTACAGCCTTGGAAACCCTACAAGGGTCACCGTGAGTTAGAACCAGCTCTGCAGCACATAATCACCACCACCCACTGGTGTGGCATGGTCGGATAAGCACACTGTGGACTGCTAACCACAAGGTCAGTGGTTCAAACTCGCCAGGCTCTTCTTGTAAACCCTACACAGGGTTACTATGAGTTGGAACCGACTCCATGGCACAGAACCACCACCACCACTTCATAGGTGGAGTCCCAGGTGGCACAAATGATTAAGAGTTGGACTACTAACCAAAAGGTTGGCAGTTCAGGCCCACCAAAGGTACCTCAGAAGAAAGTCCTGGTGATCTGTTCTCCAAAAAGGGCATACCCTTGGAAAACCCAGTGAGTACAGTTCTACTCTGTTTACTTGGAGTTGTCATGAGCTGGGATCGACTCCAGGGCCCCTAATAACTTCATAGGCATCTTTCTCATCTCTGACCATCTTGTCTCCTGGTTTTGTCTGCCTTGGTCAAATTTCCTCTGGGTTTGGGGACTTGCTTTCAATGCCATGTCTTCTGTGGTTTGTCCAC